TTCTCGCTTGAGATGTGGTTTAAAGTGTAAAAATACACCTGGTCGCCCAGCCTCTCAGGATACCTTGTGTCAGAGTTGCATGTACCCCATGCACACCGTTTGACCATTTTTAAACTTCAAATCTCAGAAAAAGCTCATAAAACCGAACAAACTGACTTTCTGTAATGCATTTCAATGGACGTCCAGGCAGAGAATGTCCCAGTGTATGGGAATGGCTATACGCACTGTGATTGGCTCATTGTGTTTGAGGGCGGGGCTTAGCCATAGGTCAATTGTAAACAGAGCAGGGTGGGGATGGAAGGGTAATCACATATTCATGTACGATCTTTTTTTAATTCCTCAGTTTCATAGTATTATAGTTTTGTTGTTATTAGTTTGATTTTGGCTTTACTGTTGTAAGTGATTTTTTAAATTATCTCATTTTTATTACATTTTAATTTGTTTTTTTATAGTTAATGTTTTTTGATTAAAGATGTTACACATACATATACAGTACAGGCCAAAAGTTTGGACACACCTTCTCATTCAATGCGTTTTCTTTATTTTCATGACTATTTACATTGTAGATTCTCACTGAAGGCATCAAAACTATGAATGAACACATGTGGAGTTATGTACTTAACAAAAAAAGGTGAAATAACTGAAAACATGTTTTATATTCTAGTTTCTTCAAAATAGCCACCCTTTGCTCTGATTACTGCTTTGCACACTCTTGGCATTCTCTCCATGAGCTTCAAGAGGTAGTCACCTGAAATGGTTTTCCAACAGTCCTGAAGGAGTTCCCAGAGGTGTTAGGTCCGGTGACTGTGGAGGCCAGGTCATCTGCCGCAGCACTCCATCACTCTCCTTCTTGGTCAAATAGCCCTTACACAGCCTGGAGGTGTGTTTGGGGTCATTGTCCTGTTGAAAAATAAATGATCGTCCAACTAAACGCAAACCGGATGGGATGGCATGTCGCTGCAGGATGCTGTGGTAGCCATGCTGGTTCAGTGTGCCTTCAATTTTGAATAAATCCCCAACAGTGTCACCAGCAAAACACCCCCACACCATCACACCTCCTCCTCCATGCTTCACAGTGGGAACCAGGCATGTGGAATCCATCCGTTCACCTTTTCTGAGGCTGGTGACTCGGATGAACTTATCCTCAGAAGCAGAGGTGACTCTTGGTCTTCCTTTCCTGGGTAGGTCCTCATGTGTGCCAGTTTAGTTGTAGCGCTTGATGGTTTTTGCGACTCCACTTGGGGACACATTTAAAGTTTTTGCAATTTTCCGGACTGACTGACCTTCATTTCTTAAAGTAATGATGACTACATGTTTTTCTTTAGTTAGCTGATTGGTTCTTGCCATAATATGAATTTTAACAGTTGTCCAATAGGGCTGTCGGCTGTGTATTAACCTGACTTCTGCACAACACAACTGATGGTCCCAACCCCATTGATAAAGCAAGAAATTCCACTAATTAACCCTGATAAGGCACACCTGTGAAGTGGAAACCATTTCAGGTGACTACCTCTTGAAGCTCATGGAGAGAATGCCAAGAGTGTGCAAAGCAGTAATCAGAGCAAAGGGTGGCTATTTTGAAGAAACTAGAATATAAAACATGTTTTCAGTTATTTCACCTTTTTTTGTTAAGTACATAACTCCACATGTGTTCATTCATAGTTTTGATGTCTTCAGTGAGAATCTACAATGTAAATAGTCATGAAAATAAAGAAAACGCATTGAATGAGAAGGTGTGTCCAAACTTTTGGCCTGTACTGTATTTATCATATTATTATAAATATCATATATTTATCTACATTTATCATGACAGTTGTGAGTGTGTAAAGCACTGGCAGAACTGTCTTTTAGGTGTCTGTTCTTGTCTATTGACAAGTCTGGCTCACATTAGCCAGACTTGGCCATTTAAGCCTGGATTTGCCTTTAGCCTGCTTGATGGAATACTCCCTGGTGATCAGGTTGAGTTTAGAGAAGTTGAATAAAGATGACTGAAATAAAAACTTCAGGTTAATTATCCGCGTAACGACGAAGGTCGTCAGGGCTGTGAACGCCTGATTGGAGAACCAGGAGCGTCTCAGTCGGCTTATAAAAGATGGCTGCCAGTTGGTATCTGTTTTGGCTGGAGGAGCTTCATGTCAAGAGGTAAAGCTCACACACACACACACACAAACACACACTTGCTGTTGCTTTGTTGAAAAAGAAAACTGATATTTGAATGAACTAAATATTTATAATCAGTATTATATTATTAATTTTCTTAAATAATTAAATCCTCATACATTATATTGTCTTCTCGTCTCTGCTTCTGTCCTGTGTAACACCTTATTTAGTTTTCTTTATTTTCACTCTTCAGTCAGGCTGAAAGATATATTTTAAAACATCAAAGTTTTGACTGTTAATCCTCGTAAGAGACCGACCTCCCAGTGACTGAGCTTGGTCTTAGCTATCAGACATGATGGACGTCAGAGGGAAAATCTGACAGTTTACAAAAAGTTCTTTATTTATTAATCTCACAGCAGTCTACTGTCAGATCTGTTCACAGTTCTTGTAATGCTCATCAAAGCATTAATTTTAAACCGTAATTCTTATTCAGTTTGGATTCAGAAGGCCAGCGGAGTCGACCTGTCATGGTTGAGACACACCTGATAGAAATAATATCTAATCAGTGTATCATAAAATAGAAAGCAGACCAGAACCTGAGCAACATTCACACATTTTTAAAGCCAGGAAGTGAGACAGGAGTCCTCGTGATGTAGCTCACGTCTTTCTTATGTTTATTCATATTTTATTGTATTGATGTATATTGTAGTGAACATTAAAGCATAAAACATATTTTATATTTCTGAATGAAACGTTAGTTTATACAGTGTAATGTGGCACATATCTGTATATGTTTTCACACTTACAGTCTCAGCACAGTGAAGATATTTTTATATTTAATATCTTAGTGTTAAACAGCATAAACACATTTTATTCCTATTTACATTTTATTTTAATTTCTTTATATTTATATCTTCTTCTTACTTCACATCTGAGTGACTGTAGAGAATCAGAATTTTCCCGCAGGGATCATGAAAGTATTTCTGATTCTGACTCTAAATTATATTTTTGTAGAAATCTGACAGAGTTGACAAAAATCTGGGACGTATCTTTGAAGGGATTTAGAAGGTGAACATTTTCAAGAAAAAATATTGTAAAAGAAGATCATTAAAAGTTTTAGATTTGAAGGCTTTTAATGTATTTTTTAATGTTTGGTGTGAAGTTGTGAATTTCTGTCTGGGACGAGGCTGTTTCCTGGCACAGGGCAAGTTTAGAGGTCAAAAATAAAAGCAGGTCAAAATGTTTTATAAATAATATTTCCTTCATGTTTATTAATCCTATAAAACAATAATGTTTCGACCCTGAAACCAAATTTGTTTGTTTTTTTGTTTGTTTGTTTGTTTTTTTGGCAGGACATTTTGTCCCACTTCTCAAGAATGGGTGATGATCTTTAGCCCTTGTTTTGCTTGTTACTTTGAAGAACGTTAATTTTAATCTGTTGAAACATTTATAATTAATACTTAGAGCAGCATCACATGAGGCATGATGAACACATTAAAGACGCTGTGTATAAACGATGAAAGGTTTGATTGGAAAGACAAATGAATTTGTACTTAAAGATCAACTGATTAGAATTTGCTGGTTATGAATGCAATGTCTCAAGAAGGCCTTCGTGGAATTTCTTCAAATTTGGCACAAACATCCATTTGTATGCAGAGATTAACTAATTAGATTGTAATGTTTGTGGGTCAAACGTCAAGGTCACTGTGACCTTGCGTCCATCTCATTCTTGTGAATGTGACATCTTAAGAACACCTCTTTGGAATTTCTTCAAATTTGGCACAAATGTCAACTTTCAATCAAGGATGAATAAATTAGAATTTGGGGGTCAAAGACAAAAGGTCAAAGTGACCTTGCCCCTGTCTCATTCTTGTGAATGAAAACTCACAAGAGGGTCATGAGGGAAATGTCCACTTCAACTCAAAAATAAACTGATTAGAATTTGGTGGTCTAGGGTAAATGTGACCCTGCATCCATCTCATTCTCATGAACATGATATCCCAAGAGCACCTTAAGGGGATTTCTTAAAATTTGGCACCAACGTCAACTTTGAGTCAAGGATGAACAAATTACAAATAGGTGGTCGAAGGTCAAGGTCACTGTGACCTGACGAAACAAGAATTCTTTCAGTAATTATGACAAATCTTCACACAAATGTCTAACAGGATAAATTAATGAAGGTCAAAAGGTCAAAGGTCAGCTTGACTGTGACATCATCATGTTTTAACGTCATATCTCAGGAACAGAAGGGGAGACATTTGGTCAGATACTGAAATGGTGACTCTAATCTTGAAACTGTGCTGATTGTATAGATCTTGAGACATGAATGTAAACTGTAACTGCAACTTGCCTGATGCACAGAGGCGCACAACCATGAGGAAGTAGTTCTAGTTTACGTGTACACTGAGGTCACATTGACTCAGTAATAGTGAACAATGCCAGAGAGAAATCAGCAGATGTTTTTTTCTGTCTAAATCCCAGAGTTAGCATTTTTAAATCAGATGTTGTAACAGTGATAATTTGTATCTGAAAACACGGACAAATATACTGCTTTACATTACAAGACCTAATCTGAAGAACACGTGCATTGAACAAAAGTTTAAACATGACATGTTCAAATCACTGTTTTAAGCTGTCTCCAATGACATTTCCATGAATTTAGCATTACATCCAACCAACCATGCAAAACAAGGTGTAGCGGTACACATTAAAATTTGGGATTAGAAGATACTTTACACTCATGTCATTTATTTTTTTATATCATCAGACGTGTTGCTTCCTCAAAGCTGCACTTGTTTACCATCTTATGAATCATTAACACCATCATGTATGATGATAACTGTTACAGTGTTGACTCTATTCTTTGTCTATGATCCTCTGCAGGATCCTCCGTCTGCAGAATGGAGAACAACACTTTCAATATGGACATTTTACAGCTGGAGGGGTTAAAGGTCAGCCCTAAGTCCTCCATTCCTGCCTTCATCCTCCTCCTCCTCATCTACATCTTCATCATGGTGTCCAACATCGGCCTGGTGGTCCTGATCTTCATGGAGCAGAGCCTCCACCAGCCCATGTACCTGCTCTTCTGCAACATGAGCATTAATGATGCGTTTGGAGCAACAGTCATCATCCCTCGCTTGTTGAGTGACATTTTTATCCCAGGCACAGAGCGCTACATTCATTACATCGACTGTGTCATCCAGGCGTTCTGCGCTCACTTTCACGGAGGCACCTCTCACACGGTGCTCATGATCATGGCCTTCGATCGCTACGTGGCCGTCTGCAACCCCCTGAGATACACCATCATCATGACCAACAGGATGGTGGTGGCGCTGTCGGTGTCGGCCTGGGCGGTAGTTTTCTTTTTGATTTTAATCCTTGTGAGCCTCAGCATTCGCCTGTCACGCTGCAGGCAGGTTGTACTCAACCCATTTTGCGACAACGCCTCCTTGTTTAAGCTGTCCTGTGAAAACATAATCATCAACCACATCTACGGGCTCAGCATCGCCATGGTCATGATGTTTGCATCTATGTGCAGCGTCACGCTCACCTACCTGAGGATCGCCATAGTGTGTTTGAGTAGTAAGAACAAGGTGCTGAACAGCAAAGCACTGCAGACCTGCGCCACCCACCTGGCAGTATACATCATCATGTTTGTGTCGGGTGCCATCATCATCATCCTCCATCGTTTCTCTCACTTATCAGACCACAGGAAGCTGGCGTCCATCATGTTCCACGTGGTTCCTCCTTCCATGAATGCTGTTATCTACGGACTGCAAATCAAAGCAGTCAGACAAAAACTTATGATCATATTTAACAGGAAAAAATAACAGTGTCAGCGGTGAACTGACTAAGAGCAAACATCAGGACACGGCAATAAAAAGCTGATAAATTCCACTGTTGATAGAATTTAAAATTCCTCAGTCTGACACAAACTGGTGGAAGAATAAAGAATGAATCAACCCCAGTGACCCTGGAATCAAAAGTGTTTGTTATATTTAAGAAGAGTCAGTGCACATTATTTAACTTGAGCACTTGAGTCCAGCATGTAAACGTGCCAGATTTAGCCACACAGGCTAATATTCATCTGCAGTGTGTTTTTTCATGTATTTTAAAAATCTGATGCTAAAAGATTTTGCTGACGTGCTGCAGTCAGCCTGTTGTCTCATTTCGGGTGTTTCTGTTGTTGGAAGTCACTGGACCACAGATGATTTGTCATTTGTGCAGACCTACTGGACATGTGAAGGTGTCCCATCCTTTGTTCTCCGAAAGAAAGAACCTCCCAGGATGCCTCACTGTTCGCACCACGGTGTCAAGTCTTGCCCATGGACCCAGTTTCAAATATGATTAGGTACTTAGGTACTTTATGGGAAGTAATATAGTAGAGTTATTAGTCTGGATAACGGTTTCACACCTCTTTATTCCAAAGTACTGAAATATAGATGTGTTTTAACTCAACACTGTTCAGACAAAAAAATGATTACAGTGCCTCATGTTGTCCTGCAGTTGGTCAGGTGTATGTGTCCAATAATAAAGAGACAATATGTATTTATGAAATGAAGTTTCCTGCCTTTATTTATTATAAATATAACATTGGGCTAAAATTTTGGAAATGAAATTCCAAGAACATTTGCAAAAATCATTTTTTGGGGTCAAATAAATATGGTCGCACATTGCAAACATTATTTTTTAAGTATTAAAAGTTATCAGGCCGAACACAATGTCATTTTATAAGTACAAATCAAACAAAGTGGCATTAAATCCAACTGCTCATGGGATTGTTTATTTTCTGGCTCCACATTTATTTATACTGCATAGATATGGCTTTCAAAGTAATGTTCAAAAAAGGCTCTGTAATTATTTTTTTAATGGAAAACAATATGTTCTTATTAATGGTCATAAGTCAACAAGACATGTAATACAACGTGGTGTCCCGTAAGGATACATATTAGGACCCTTATTATTCCGAATTTATATTAATTATCTTGCTGCTGTATCTAATACTATATTTCCTTTGCTCTTTGTAGATGACACCAGACTTTTTCTCTCTAATAGAGACTTAAAAAGTCTGATGAGAGAACTAAATCATGATCCTGTCAATTACTCGGCCTGGTTACAAACAAAGAAGTTGTAAGTAAATGTTATAAAGTAGAATTTTACATTGTTTGCAGGAAATCAGAAGCATGACAATGACCACATTAAACTTAATATTCATACTGCAGTTTTGTGTGGACGACTATTTTTCCAACCTGCTGCAGCAGAAAAACTTTGTGAGATTAGTAACCTTTTCTAAGTTTATTGTACGTAGCGCACCACTTTTTAGATTAAAATTAACTATTTTTTACATTAATACTCTTTAAATCTGCACATTTTTCTTTAAAGTGAAATGTGAGATTACTTTGTAGTTTTAAAACCAGTTCAGACCAAAGCGATGAGACGAGTTGAAACAAACAACTGTCGACGATCCATTCTGTAACATTGTAAAAAGCTGGCGGTTCACAGGAAGTGACCGCCATGAGACGGCGCATCATCTCTAGTCAACGACTCTCTGTGCTTCTGATCTGTAACGTTGACAGGAAGTGACCGCCATGAGACGGCGTATCATCTTTAGTCAACAACTCTCTGTACTGGTCCTGAATCTTTGGTCTGGACTGTGTTTCTGAATGAGCCATTAATATCTACACAAGGAGCAGGTCCTGGTCTACAGAGATCGCCATGTTGCACCGCCATCTTTCTACAGTAGCCCAGAACGGACAAACCAAACAGTGACTCTGGATAGAGACATTTACATTTTGATGTTTTTGCATCGGCCAGTGTAGTAAGAAGCTGCAATAAGCAGTGTTGGGGTTCCTCTGATTAGAGGCATGAAACTGTTTTACTTATTATCTTTACTGGTTTAAATCAGCTGTTCTGTTTGTTCTGGACAGGGTTAGACCTCTGTGGATGATTCAGCTCCTGGAGAAAAACCTCCTGAACCTCTGGGTCTTAAGTTATCAGAGACAAAAGGTGAGCACACATGAGCAGGGGCTGGACAAGCTCCCCATCTGTGACATGCCAAACAGCGTCAGAGAAACACTGATCCGTAATATGAAAGTGTCACTGACACCTCTGTGGATGAAAACCCTCCTGAACAATGAGCCTCACTGCTTGATGCCACTAAGTCTTACACACTGAGGCTTTAGGCGCAGTGTTGTCACAACAGAAAACTAAAAAGTGAAACATTAAAAAATGAAGAAACCTACTAATGTAACACATCAGTGGTTTGCAGTAACGTGCAATACCAACACCAATACTGTGGTGATTTGGTTGCACCCAACACATTTCATACACTGTTAGAGAAATATTGATAATAGTCACTTTAAGGATCCTTAATGTTTTTAATTATTCATTATATATCAAATGATGAAAAGAGACTCTGAGTTTAATGGATGTGGAGTCGACAACATACACAGTGATGCTGACACCAAGTCGACAGCAACAGTTGCCTGGTGACAAACTGTTGAGCAACAGGAGACACATTATAAAAAGTGTCTGTCAGCTCAGCTCTGGTCTGACTGGAGGACGCTCACATCCACAGTGGTAAACCTGACACACACACACACACACACACACACACAATCTATCGGTGATGTCTCCCACTGCTCACTGAATGTGTCTGAACTGTCAGATGTTTCACTGCGACTGAGTTTGTACTGGATGATTTCAACCTGCTTTGTGTAAAATATTAAAACTTTTGTTGTTAAAAAAAACATTTCAGTCGAGACACCCTCAGCTGAAAACAGTCTCTGCATGCATCGCTCAGTTTTGAGATTTTAGGAGAATTTACTTTGCTTCAGACAAGAGGAAAGAAAATGTCCAAAATCCACATGTATGTGTTCTTTTAGTTCAGGTTTCTGTTCTGGAAATTTGATTTTAATTAATTAGCGTTAAAACAAAAAAGTGGGGGAACTGTCCTAATATAAGTTTTAAATTGGGGAAGTTACATGGTGATATGTTTTATGTGACGCTATTGTCTTAATTTTGATCTGAAAATGTTTGGGATTTGACCATATGCATCCATCCATATATTTAAAGGCTGTTTTCTCAGAGTGAGTTTTTTCTCTGAGTCATAAATCTGCACTTAGCAGCTCCCACATCCACCAGACATCCCAGTTTCACTCTTGTCTGTATTCTTTTTGGTTGTTGACAGTGTTATATAATTTATTGAGTGATAAAACGGATACCTGAAATTTCCTCTGTAAAGACTTTTCACTCCGTACATGACGACAAAGTGAAATGTGAGAATTTTGAACCTGACTTTATCCAGTGTTCAGTCTTATTCAGTTGGATCCAATGTTTTGTTCTGTAAACATATGCAAACTAGTGCAGAATGAGAAAACGCCTCATTTGCAATTTCAACTGTAACATTTCAGAGAACTTGTAACACAAAATATAATTGTCTTACAGCAAATGAAAAATATATTTAATTTGTCAGTTCTTTGGTCGTTGTGGCGACTCATCTCCTGATTGGTCCTGGTTTTTATAAACAGCATCTGTGACAGGTTGATTCAGATCCTGTTTGTCTCCAGACTCACAACATCAGTGTCGATGTAATAAGCTGAAGATATGTTGTGCACAGCAGTGATAAAACACAGATTATCAAAGCTGCAGCAGGACACTTGGACGTATCAACAGATCACATATAAAACATAAAGGAGCTAAAACTTTTTGCATGGTGCCTCCATTTGTTTAATTGAAATCTGTTTTGTTTCTAATGTGTCATCTCAAGTTCAGACAGTACAGTGTGACACTGAACTGTAACTGCAGTGAAATTATTTAGTTTTGTGGCTCTGATTTAATGTGACAGTGCTGATGAGAGAGATCATGTGACCCTTAACATTTGAAGTCTTTACATACACGTGCAGGATCATCAGAATCTTGCCTTCAATATGTTTCTTGTACACACTGAACACTGAGGCAGATTTAAAGTAAAAATCCTGCAGGGTGATAAATCTGATTCTGATTCTGATTCTGATGAGTCAAAATTAGTGACTAAAATAAAGGACCTGGAAGAATTCACATAAAACCAGACTGGGGTCTGATTCAGGAAGACGTGACGTGAGGACATGTTGTCTCACTGTAAAAATGTTGCTGTAGATTTTAGAGTCACTAACAGGTGCTAGTACGTTGGTTTTATTTATGTGGATTTTTATTTACAGCATTATTATTGTGTTTCCAATTACGGTACAGTGGTAGTATTTGTAACTGCAGTATTGTAACTGTATTTTCCAGCTGGTGCAGTGGTTGGCATTGTCAAGAGGGTTCCTTCAGGTGGAGGAGCCCTTCTGTGTGGAGTTTGCATGTTCTCCCCGTGTCGCCGTGGGTTTCCTCCCACAGTCCAAAGACATGCAGGTTGCAGGTCAGCTGCAGTATTGCAATGTTGTTATTGTATTTTTCAATCAGTGTGATTTCTGAATGTCAGTACAGTATTTCAGTATTAGAGCTGCTTTTTCTATCAATTACAATATTATTACTGCTTTTTTAAATTCAAAATTACCGTTTAGTTTCATTTCCTTTAACCAAAATTTCAGTTCATAACTAATCACAGTTTTTACTGAGACTTTGTGAGCAATATGTTCCTGTTAAAACATCCTCGTGCAGTAAATCAAAAACCATCAGCGTCACGCCACATGTTGTGTCTGACTTTTGTCTTCTACATTACACTTCACACGTGTTTCATGATTTAGTTTTCACTTTCCTTTGTTCTTTTAACTTGCTGCTTTTCACCTCCATCAGCAGAATACATGTACGTTTCTGCAAACCATGGATACCTTACATTTGTACGTTGTTATGTAGCGGACACTTGATAACTTTATTTTGTAACAACCCTGTGGTTAACATGTGGTTCTGTTTAGGCAAGATTGTGTTTTGGTTCACAGAACCTGGTTGAGGTCGTCTGGTGGCTAAAAAGCCGCTAAAACTCAACAATGACTCAGTGAAAAACAAGTGCTTTTGGTGGCACTGGTCGGTAGAACAAGAGAAACTGGCGGCTAAAAATTAAACGTTTTTGTTGTCTGTTGTTCTCGTATGGTTTCTGTTGTGGATTCTATTCTGTTTACATTATTCTTATTTAGTTAAGATTTGACAGTCTGTGAGAGGGGCTCAGTAAGTTTGTTGTTTGATCCCCCAGAAGTTACAATCTTACAGTCTTCTTGTACTAATTCTTGACTGAGGCCTCCTAGAGGCCTAAAAGAAAATGGCACAGACTGAATGATTCACAGCTGAAGTGACTGCAACTATAATTGCTTTGTTTGCTCTCTTGTCTTCATACACCCTGAGGAAGGTGCAAGCCGACACGCACTGGTGTTTTTAATGACTCCTGCCCATTAAATAAAGGCTTCTTAATTTTTCCAAACCGACCTGAGTGCCTGGACTTTGATTTTTTTCTGCCTTCCATTTTTGTTGTTTGTTTGTCTTCAATGGTGGACTGCAGCTTGGCAGGCGTCTGTCCAACAATGCTTCCAGCAACTGCACTGTGGTTTCGTCGCAGAGCATGAACCACTGATGGATTATCCTGTCGTCATCATCATCATCATCATCATCATCACTCTGACAGATCAGGTTTGTTATCGAGCAAAGTGATGACTGAATTCTTTGTCTCTGATCCTCTGCAGGATCGTCCCTCTGCAGAATGGAGAACGAAACCTTCAATATGGATGTCATATCCATCGAGGGGTTAAAGGTCAGCCCCCAGTCCTCTGTTCCTGCCTTCATCCTCCTCCTCCTCATCTACATCTTCATCATGGTGTCCAACATCAGCCTGGTGGTCCTGATCACCATGGAGCGGAGCCTCCACCAGCCCATGTACCTGCTGTTCTGCAACATGAGCATTAACGATGTCTTCGGGGCGACGGCCGTCATCCCTCGCTTGTTAAGTGACGTTTTTACTCCAGTCACAGAGCGCTACGTTCATTACATCGACTGTGTCGTCCAGGCCTTCTGCGCTCACTTTCACGCAGGCACCTCTCACACAGTGCTCATGATCATGGCCTTTGATCGCTACGTGGCCATCTGCAACCCCCTGCGATACGCCACCATCATGACCAACAGGATGGTGGTGAAGCTGTCAGCGGGGGCGTGGGTGGCAGCCTTCATCTTTGTTGCCATCCTCCTGGGTCTCACTATCCGCCTGACGCGCTGCAGGCGGCTAATAATTAACCCATTCTGCGACAACGCCTCCTTGTTTAAGCTCTCCTGCCAAAATCTTCTCATCAATCACATCTACGGCCTCGGCAGCGCCGTGGTCGTCTTGAGCTCCTCCCTCGGCAGCGTCACGCTCACCTACCTGAGGATCACCATTGTGTGTCTGAGCAACAAGAACAAGGTGCTGAACAGTCGGGCGCTGCAGACCTGCGCCACCCACCTGGCCGTCTACCTCATCATGTTGGTGGCGAGCTTCACGCCCATGATCATGCACCGTCGGCCTGAGTGGGCGGACAATGGGAAGGTGGCGTCGGTCATGTTCCACGTCCTCCCCCCGGCCCTGAACCCCATCATCTACGGGCTGCAGTGTAAAGAGCTCCGGCAGAAGATTGTCAGCGTGTTTCAAAAGAACAAAGTCATGGACATGAAAAGTTTCCATAAATAAACACGCACAAAGCTGATGAAGGTCTCGTTAATCAAGCACCTCAAGTCTGATGCACATTCCTCCGTGACATGAACAAGTTTAGCTGAATTTAAGATATTAAGATTTTTATTTGACGTTACCTTGAATTTAACAGATTTTGCAACAGTTCTGATCCTGCAGTTTTTAAGCTCAAAGAAAGTGTTGGTTCCATTCTTTGTTTTAATTTTGACGACTGTAAAACTGAGATCATCCTCAATTATAAATATGTTTTAAGTTTCTAATTTCATTTTCTCATTGACACATCTGGATGTAATGAAACATCATTTCTAATACTGTTATATTTTTTGTTTGAACAATATTCTTCAGGGCTGACCCAAACTGTTGCCATGGTAATCGATGTATAAATCAGTGTTCAAATGCTCAAAAACTGAATCACCCCAAAAATCCAAAATAGCGCAAAAATTAAGATCTAGTAATCCATCATGATTTATTTGGCATTAACATTATTTATTAACTATTTTCAGACAAAGACATTTACACTTAGTGAGAAGATTCACCTGCAAGATGTCCAGTGTCTGCAGTTGTTTAAAGATTTGCAAAGATGAACCCCAAAATGTGGAGAGCCAGACGCTCCAAAGGAAGCCGTGATATCACAGACTGGAAAGTGAGAAAGACGGACCAGGTGTAGCTCACACAGCTAACGAGCCGTTAATCAGCACCTGCAGAGCCACCAAGCAAAGGAGACCTGGATCCCAGGAGGAGGGAGTCGTCACACGTGGAATAAAATATAAATACTCAGCTGAAGTATGGCTCTTGGACTCTTAGTTACACTGCTGAGTAACTGTGAGTTAAAGGTGAGGGATCTGCGGATGGTCTGCCGCCCTCTGACCGCAGAGCGTGACGAGGACGTCACAGGGAGTCAGCTGCCTGATTGAGACCTTGATTGGCTGTAACTGAGCACCTGGAGCTCTTGATGTCGTTAAAAGTGTCACACAGGTTACAGAGACATTTCTGGCAGCAGGAGGTGTTGATAGAAAAACACTGAAGAAATGAACAGTGAGACGTATTCACACAAGCTTTAAAAGCAACTTACATTTATTTTAATATTGCTTCATCCATTCATGTGTGAGGAAAATATTTCTGTTGATAACATATTTAACTCAAATCATAATTAAGAAGTTATCGTTCAATGCAAACGTAGTAAATTAGTAAGTTTGTTGATAAGTAAACAGCTAACCAAACATGTGATTGGCTCAGTATACAAAAGACTGATTTAATAATCATGCCGACCCAAACGCAAGAGAAAATGTTGACGCTGTGCGTTTTTTACAAACCACAGACACTTGACATTATGTAAGTGATACATTTAAACTTTGGTTGGAAGTTGCACTGTGGTTAAAGTGTGTAAAAAACAGCGACAGGTCACTACAAACCATTCACATTTGGTGCCTAATAAGCTGCTTGTGAAGAGCCACAGGTTAGTAAAACCCAATCAGTATTATTGTTCCAGAGTCTCAAAGTGATCTGTATGAAGCATACAGATGTAACAGTCATGGTTTGCAGAAACCAACATTGCCAACATTTTCTTCTGGAGACTGGGCTGATGGTTTCTAAATAAGTTTTAGTGCGAGACGGTCTCTTAACCCCAAATGGACATGAAACAGCTTTCCTCTCCCAGTCAGGACACTGTGTGGACGTTCTTTGTGGGTAACACAGCAGCAGGTCTGAACCTGCTCAGAGTCCTCCTGATGGACTCTCTCAGCTCCTCGTTCCTCAGACTGTAGATCAGGGGGTTTAGGAAAGGAGTCAGAGCGGAGTACAGCACAGACACAATGATACGAACCTGAAACAAAATCAGAAATAATGATAAGTTACAGGTCACCAGACTATCACAGGGCTGACACATAGAGACAGACACATTCACACCTATGGACAATTTAGAGTCACCAATTAACCTGCATGTCTTTGGACTGTGGGAGGAAGCTGGAGCACCTGGAGGAATATTTATCATATCTCATAATGATCAGACTTTGATCCTCTGTCTGACCCTCCCTGTGTCCAAGGATATTCATTCATTCATTTATTTGTTCTTTAATCATCACACTGTTATTAATATAATCTGGGGATTTTAATCCAAAGTAATGACCACTGTGTGTGAATGCATGAATGGGTCAGAGCTGAACTGTAATAAACTGGAGCTGCTGTGAGACAACATGCAGAGCTGTTCTTCTAAAGTTATTTTGGTGAAAGTAGTGTAATCAGTAACTTATTACTCTACATAGAGAGTAATATTGTAAAGTGACATTACTTTTAAATTCAGGTAAAATGTCAGAAGTAATGTATTACATTTTTAGAGTGACTTGCCCAATAATGTTTAAGCCTAGCTAGTGGAACCATTGTAACTATTCGGTCGGACTTAGAGCACCAACTTAAGCTCCGTCTCCACCAAACCCTTTCAGTCCAGCACCTCTGGAACCAGCAGTAAGCCTTCAGACATGGTACCTAGACCCTCGGTGTGTTCAGACAGTCCTCTTAAATGTGGGCGGGGTTGTTGTCACTCACTGCTCCGTCCAGCACTCGCTGTATTTCCTCATCAGCGGTGACACAGATGGAAGTCTGCACCTGGTTTATCGTCCACAGAACGAGGCTGCACGCCCACATTTTCACAACAAAATAGAACAGGCTGCAGTGAGAGTCTCTCTCCATGGGATATTTAAAAATAGCAGCTTTGTGCATTTAGTCCTTCTCAGGCAAGCTCAGGGGTTTAGTGTTGCTGTAGCCCACAGGAAGTGAGGATTAGAATATATGACCTTCACATAATCCGCTCCAAATTAATCTATATTTTTAAAGTCATTACTAAAAGTGTGTGTCATATAAAAACTAAAGTGATGGTCAAAGTTGTCACAGTGAAATTTAAGGTGTGCTGATGGATTCACGTCATCAACTCATGCATTGAGTAACATTACAAGTTAACGTTCCACCTTAAAAGTTGCCGGCAGTCGGCCCAGTGAATGAAGTTATTTTTTTCTCTTTCATTTTATAGTTGTAGTTTACTGATGTATGAACAGAGGTTACATAAAACCAGAGTGAGCGTCCTCTACTGACCAATCAGACTGCAGGGTTTCTAGCTCCACCTTTTAGTACCAGATCTGTGTGCTAGGTACCCCAACAGAGGGGGGACCAAACATGGGGACGCTAAGGAACGCTTCTGTTGGGACCATCCACAACTTTCACTGTGGGAACTGCTGTACTATACTGCTATAGGCAGAAGCCCTGTTGGTGCAACCAGCCCCTGAATCTGAGCTTTAACGTCCCACAGCCTTTACAGCAATGTGCCATCTGATATCTGTGTGGTGCGTCTGGTCTGTGTCCAGAGTTATGGTCCTTCAATGCAACAAAATGTCTCTGCTTTCATGTTAAAGGAATTTCAAACACAGGTCAATGACAGCTCAGGTACCATCTGCTGTGTGAGGCCACAGGACGTGGTAGAGAGGTTTGGAAACTCAAGGTGGACCTAATGGGGAGATTTTTCTCAAGTTGCTGCTTTCAAGGTCAAAGAAGAACCTTTAAACTCCTCGCTAATCTTGTTTTAAATACTGTAATCAGATAACGATAAAGCCTCTGGTGACGAGGGCCAATATTTCGGGCTGATCTGGTGTCGTCAGAGGATATCCAAGGAAAGACTTCCTGTTCTGATCACAGATAATTTGAGTCACTCTCTATAAGCAGAAATCTGCATATGAATGTGGATAACTGTTAGAAATTATAATTAAAGCAAACTTATTGTCAGACAGTAGCTGATGGGATCTGAGGCTACATTTCAGTTACTGCATTCAGCCTCTCCGCACTGACAGTTTACCTGCCGTTCATATGCGATTAGCACGACTTGGACTACAACACAAAACCAGCACACCTCCAGAACCAAAGTCTTGTCCTGTCACCTCTACTATCTTCATAGAGGTTATAAATACTGGAGCTGAACACAGGACCTTAAAAATATTTTTTGGTAGACATATATGAGACTAAAGCAAAGGCAAAGGTAAGTATTAAAGCTGAATGATTCGTCTCGTACCTCAGGTGAAAAGTTTCCCACCCTGTAGGAGATGTATACAAACGAGGCCGAGCTGTAAGAGATGGACACCACAGTCAGGTGGGCGGCACACGTCCTGAAGGCCTTAAGACTTTGAGCAACACCCATCCTCGATATGGAAACACCAATCAGGATGTAGGAGGTGAGGATGAGGACTCCTGTGGTCAGTAGTGCCAGTATGGCGAAGGAAATGGACACAATGTTATCTATGACGGTGTTACCACACACCAGGCGCCGTACAGACGACAGGTCACACCAGCCATTCCTCACCACATTGGGGCCGCAGTAAAGCCGCTGCCAGGTCATGGAGGTAGCTGGTAGTGTGCAGAAGGCGGCAAAACTCCAGGCTCCTGCGATGAGGAGCAGCCGGACGGGCCGAGTCATGACCGCCGTGTAGCGCAGAGGGTTGCAGATGGCCACGTAGCGGTCGTACGCCATGACAGTCAGGATGGCACGACCGGTAACAGCCAGCTGAACGAAGAAATGCATCTGGAGTAAGCAGCCTGGGACGGAAATGGTATTCACGTCTGTCAGGAGGCCCAACAGCATTTTAGGGATGGTGGTGGTGGTGAAGAGGATGTCCACGAAAGAAAGGTTGGAGAGGAAGAAATACATGGGAGAGTTGAGCTTTGAGTCAGTCAGCACCTGCGTGAGAATAAACAAGGCGGGATTAAGACACTAATAATTCCATTTTAGTCAGACTAAGGCAAAACTGATGAAATGAGCTTTAATAGATTATTTTGTACCACAAAGATGATCATGCTGTTTCCTCCCAGGATGATGATGTAACCCAGAAGCAGGAGGACAAAAACTATCATCTTTTTCTCACCAAGGTTGGCGAGGCCCTGGATGATGAAAAAAGTGACGCCATCAGGCTCCCAGGTGCCGTTAACAGAGCTGGATCTCTGATTAGTCGACAAGGGCAGGTACGAATCTGGAGAAAGAGTGAGGTAAGGGTGGGGTTAGTCAGGCATGTGCATACACGGGGTGTCTCTCAAAGTCAGGGAAAGATCCTCACACTGCCAAATTTCAAGGAGGATACGTCATCGTCCCGCCGAAGGACTGTTCCAGTGTCAAGGATCCTTGTGAATTTCACAGAGGATTGAGTCCTTCTTTCAGAGAAATTCATTTCATCATTCATCATTTACAGCAGAGATGGAGCGCTAAAAGTCACGTGACTCTGAAAATACAGTTTAATCAATCAATCAATCAATCAATCTTATTTATAAAGCCCAATATCACAAATCACAATTTGCCTCACAGGGCTTTACAGCATACGACATCCCTCTGTCCTTATGACCCTCACAGCTGATCAGGAAAAAACCCCAAAAACCCTTTAATGGGGAAAAAATGGTAGAAAGCTCAGGAAGAGCAACTGAGGAGGGATCCCTCTTCCAGGACGGACAGACGTGCAATAGATGTCGTACAGAAGGGACCTACACCTACACCTACACCTACACCTAAGGGAAGCATGTATAGAGTGAATAGGATTGGTCTGAGCACAGAACCTTGTGGAACTCCAAAACAAACTTTAGTATTTGCATTTGTTTAAAATTTTACAACATGAGAGAGTGCCAAAATGACCACAGTACCCTGAAACGCCCGGTGACACTTGTTAGCCTGTTCCAATGTGTGTTGACTGGATGCTAGGAAGGACTCTGTCTCTGCAGGATCCTTCCTTGGAAGGAATCATCCTACCAAGGAAGGATCCTTGACTTTGAGAAACACCCACAGACTCTGAAGCGTCTGCCCCTTTGACCTCTGACTAGATAAGTGCTCTTTACACCCAACATTTTATTCTATTTCTTTTATTAATTTTAGATTGTAGTTTATAAATTTGGCCCATCGCAACAATTTTTAATTGAAAGTGTGGTGTACACCGGACAACTGCATCTGAGTTGAGGCGCTCGCCCTTCCTCTCCCTGACAGCAGAGCTGAAGAGAGACAAGATATTCAGGAATGTGCATAACTTCACATCCGTTGGATTTTCCTGGACAATCTATCCAGAGTCCGTTACATTAAAATTAAGGTCCCAGGTTTTAAGTTACATCCTGTTCACTAACTTTTGATACTTGAAGTACTTTTTGTTGCTAACGCCTCCAGACTTTTGTTTAAGTAACATTGTGTCATGTTTGCTGTAATCGTTCTTCCTCATCGCACTGGCCATTTAAAGATACCAACATCCTCACAAATATTAAGTAAAAATCTCCAGGCCTTGTTTTGTACTTGAGCCATCTGAGTTAATCACATCGGGTGGGAATCTTCTAAAGGTACAGATAAACAGTTTCTCTGTAAAAGAGGTGGAACATAAACCCAATCTGTCCTGACAGTCTGAGAGAGACTGAGAGAGGATTTATCACCTCAATACTTTCCAGTCTATCCGGTTTTAATATGCTCAAAAAAAGAAGAAATATCATGGAAAACTGAGAATAATGTGATTACTATTACTTTACACATTTAGCAGTCTGTGCAAAAACAATTAGGAAGTAAACTCAAAGTCAATAAAACAGGTGAAGGATCAGAATTTGACAAAGGCAGCATGACCTGAAGTGACTGAATCAAAAAATCTGAAGGTAAAGCTCTTTCTTTCACTCTGGAGTCGAGTACATGGAAACTCTAACACCTCAAAACCTGCTGCTTCCACTTCACAATCACTTCTTTAACCAATTCAATATACAAACAACAAGTATAAATATAGTTTAAAGCTTCAACACTGTATGATAAGAGCAGTTAATGTTAAGCCTTTATGCAAATTAAATAAGTAAGAAAAGATTCAGCTCTTTCTATAATAGTTTGTAAATGTGTCATCGCCTTCAGACACTGACAAAGAATTTCACTGAAGCACTTTTAAGGGAAACAAATGAAGAACCTTTAAAGTTATCATCATTTTTACAAACTGTCTTCTGTATAATAACATTTCTGTTCTCCTGCTTATAACTGAAAACATATTTGTGAAGTCAGACTGTGGAGTTTGATGGCACTGGACATCATTAAAACATTAAAGCACACGACAACAGCACATAATGACAATGACAGGAACACTCACAGACCTCTGGGGCTTTCAGGGGAAATATCAAACGGTAAAAGCTCCATCTCTCTTCAGCAGACAGACACACAGACAGACAGATGAACAGATGGGTGGATGGAGGAAAATTCACTGTCAACAGAAAACAAGTGCAGAATAATGAATGTGTGAAAAAGAAAAGCTTTGTATGTAACCTAATGTGTGCACGAGCTCAGTGTGACAGCAGCTGTTACACAGTCAGAATGAAACTCTTTAAAAAGCTCTACAGCTGCACAGCACAAACAGCACGTCTTCATATTTGTCTTTTGAACACAACAGACAGAAATAAGATCTCATCATCTCACCTGAATGTGTGAATCTTTGCTGGGCTCAGTCACGTTCAGTCAGATAGAAGCTCAACTTCATCCACGTCCACATTTTGTCCTTTCAGGAGCGACTAAGCGTTTTCTGATTCTGATGGAGATGAAGGTGAGACCAAACATGGTTAATTACACAAAGTGACATCACATCCTTTCATTAAAAATATAAATTGTACACAGGACAGTAAGAGAATTCCAGAGGGACCTATTTTTAGTTACCTCTGTGGTTATAAACAAGAAAACATGAGAAACAACATCGTATTTGTTGCCACGGTAACAACTGCCCCCTTCAAATGTTTATTCTCCTCATTAAAGGTTCATTATAAAAGTAATTACTTTAATTGCTTGTGTGTGTGTGTGTGTGTGTGTGTGTGTGTGTAGTTGTACCTGTTGTTGTGAAGTTATAAAGTTGGTCTGAGTCACAACTTTAAGAATCTTTCAGAGTTTCAGGGTTCTTTTGCAGTTAAATAATAAAATGAATAATTTCGTACCAGTCACTGTAAATAAAGATGGACGACACGTCTCCAGCGTCCAGACATGAATCCAAAAATTTCCCAGATATGGCCGCCGCCATCTTAAGCTGCAGTATCTTGTTTCTGCCGTCCGACCAATCACAAGCAGCACCATTGGTTGTGAGCACACTGACTGGCACACACAGCTGTCAATCATGATGTCAAACCCTTTTTATTTCATCAAATAACTAATTAAAACCAAAGTGATCAGACAAACAAACATGTGAACAAACATCAGTGTGATAAAAAATCTTAAATGGCAGAAACCATCTTTGGAAAAAAAAAAGTTGATGTGTACTTTGATTTTTCACTTTGGCCCATGATCCATCCACTAACATAGAGGGGGCGGGGTTCATTACCTAGCATAAACATTGTGTTTCCATATGAGCAAATCATATTCAAATGGCACTCGAGGTCACACTGACGTTTCTTTGACGGAGACAATGATAGGTGCGAAGGAACCAAGACGCACCACCAACAGCGTCAAAGATAACAATAGTTTCACTAGCAAGAATCACATCACAACAATATGAAGTTAAACATTTTAATGAATGTTCTGAGGTATGAGATGATGTTGATGGTGAATGAATGTAGAGGGGAGGAACAAAGATGGTTGGAGGATGTCGTCAGCCAGGCTGGTCCGGAGGGTACACTGGACGCTGGGCAGAAGGAGACTCAGTGTGGGGGTTGAGAGATCTGAGACGAACGGGGCTGGATGGGTTGGCCAGGTATAAGTAGGCTTGTCAGGTGATGAGAGGAGTGGTTGAGGCGTGACCCTGCTTTCGAACCTCAGTTAACTAGTTAACTTCATATAGCGTGAAATTTTGTGAGGTCATTATGACAGTGTATCACTGCGTCCTGGACGTGACGCAAGCATCAGTTTGATTGCATTGTTTTCTCTTGGACTGTCCGAACTGCCTGTAAATGACACTTTGCGCCACATTGTGCTGCGTCTTTTGTCTTTTGTCTCGTCGGACACTTTATTTCCAATTTTTTTGTGCTGCTCACATTGAAAGCGCCTCAATGGAGGAGGAACGGCTGATTCACAAGGTTAAAATGAGGAATTACCTGAGAGAGAGTGATCAGTAAGGACCTACTCACTCCTCTTTTCAGTTGCTACTCTGAGACCACAGCTCATAGGTGGGTTGTTTGTTTATATGACACTTGCACCAGTTAGGTCACAGCGTGCAGCTGAAACAGGTAAAAATGATCAAACTTTCTTTCTTCAAACTTTCTGTAAATAACTTTGTAAACTAGAAAGGCACTCAGAGAGCGAAGACGTTGACCAAGGCCAGAAGCCCTGTGTCACAATGTGATCATACATGAAAATAGTTCATCTATCTGCCCCGTGATTAAGATCCACTCCATGTTCTGATGGGTTCTTACTTGGACTTTGCTTCACCCTTCTTCCAAGATTCATAAAAATTAAACCAGTTGTTTTTCCCCCAGTCCTGCTGATAAACAAACCAGTGTTGGGATCACTGGACTCCACACATGATTTGTTTATTTGCAACTTTTATCTGGATGTGTAAAGGCAGAAACTCAGGAGTTCTCTTTCTTCAGGCAGAGGACCTGTCTGAAGGTTCCTGGTGAACAAGTTCGCACAAGCAGCCAGAAACAAAGTCTGCCAGCTAACTTCCCAAGCAAAGGACAAACTGTGAGGACAAAGAGTGACCAGCTCCCTCTTACCTGCACCACTGGAATACAGCAGTGTAGCTGAGGCAGCAGGCGTGTAAACAACATGTGGAACCAGCTAAAACAATCTGCCTAAACTCTTGTCAATCCTCACCATTTTCTCCACCAAATTTTAACTAGTGATTTGTAAGCCATTATTTTAACACATCGAAGTGAAATCTGCAAAACCAGATTGAGCACTGGGCCAAGTTAAGACCACCAGGCCCGGCCTAGGCTTGGGATTCAGCAGAGCCCAGCAGCCATCACGCAGGCTCAACGCTGGAGACAGGCTCAAGGTTTCAGTAACCATCAGGCCAGCTCCGGGCTCAGCCGAGGCCCAGCAACTACCATCAGACAGCAAGTTAATCTGTGGCAGAATGGCTACTAAAAGAGACATGGAAGAGCTAAAGAGATCGAATGGGGAATTAAGGAAATCGGGGACATCAAATGGAGGCAATGGCAAGTTAGCAAGACATTTAACCTGCATGTCTTTGGACTGTGGGAGGAAGCTGGAGCACCTGGAGGAAACCCACGCTGACACGGGGAGGCAGTGTGAACCACTGCACCACCGTGCGTCATTACAACATAATTTTAACTGACGTCATTATTACTGAATGGAACTTTAATCTAAGTAAGACAATAATAATTATGCACTGGATTGTATGAGGCTTTTCTGGATACTCAAAGATGCTCTACAGAGAACAACCAAACAAAAAGAAAGACAAAACACGACATGAAGAGAAAATGTTTTTTAATTGCATGACTGAAAATTTCAGTGAGTGCAACTATTGAATCGACATTATTTACACTTCATTCAGCATCGGGTCAGTTCACCTGCGACGCAGTTGTTGTTTTCCTGTTAAATATGATCATAAGTTTTTGTCTGACTGCTTTGATTTGCAGTCCGTAGATAACGGCGTTCATGAAAGGAGGAACCACGTGGAACATGATGGACGCCAGCTTCCTGTGGTCTGTTAAGTAAGGGAAACGATGGAGGATGATGATGATGGCACCCGACACAAACATGATGATGTACACAGCCAGGTGGGTGGCACAGGTCTGCAGCGCTTTGCTGTTTAGAGCCTTGTTCTTACTACTCAAACACACTATGGCGATCCTCAGGTAGGTGAGCGTGACGCTGCCGAGGGAGGAGCCCAGCAGGAGCACGGTGTAGCCGAGGCCGTAGATGTTATTGATGAGGACGCTCTCGCAGGACAGCTTGAACAAGGAGGCGTTGTCGCAGAATGGGTTGAAAATAATCCACCTGCAGCGAGACAGGCGGACGCTGAGGCCCACGAGGATCGCCACCATAACTAAAGCCACCGCCCACGCTGACACAGACAGTGACACCACCATCCTGTTGGTCATGATGGTGGCGTATCTCAGGGGGTTGCAGATGGCCACATAGCGATCGAAGGCCATGATCATGAGCACCGTGTGAGTGGCGCTTGCATGAAAGTGACTGCAGAACGCCTGTACGGCACAGTCGATGTAATGAATGTGGCGCTCTGCAACTGGGATAAAAATGTCTCCTAACAGAGGAGGGATGATGGTCGTCGCCCCGAATGCATCGTTAATACTCATGTTGCAGAAGAGCAGGTACATGGGCTGGTGGAGGCTCCTCTCCGTGAAGATCAGGACCACCAGGCCGATGTTGGACACCATGATGAAGATGTAGATGAGGAGGAGTAGGATGAAGGCTGGGATGGAGGAGTGGGGTGTCACCTTTAACCCCTCCAGGAGAAGAATATCTGTACGTAGCGTCTGATTCTCCATCGTACACAAGGGTGATTTCAGCCTAATGAGGATGGGACAGAGAAAAAAATAATATAACATCAAATACATTTTCCTGTTAAAGATCGTCACGCAGGCTGTTCTAAACTCTTCGTACATGTACCTACAAAAAATGACGCATCTTAATTCGTATATGACCCACATATTAAAGGCTGTGATCTCATAAACAATGCACTGACGGTGGTAAAGAAGGAAGTGGTATAAAAAGTGAAATCGAGGCAGGTTGTAGTGACGGACGGGTCAAACTAACACAGGACATTCCCTCAGGACAGCGGCGTTTGTGTCTCGTGTGAAACCAGGTGAACATTGGTCATTTTAAGGTACATCTTCATGATACGTTAAGTACGTAACTTTATGTTAAGTAGTACTTTACTTTCCTAAACTGAAAATATGTACCTTTATTTTGGTAAAAATAACCCACGTAACTCTACGTTACGTAGGTACTCTACGCGACTCTACGCAACTTTTGTAGACTAAGAACACATACCTTTGGTAAATATAACCTATGTAACTCTACTTTCATAAACTAAGAATACATATGTTTACTTTCCTACGCTAAAAATACAGAACTTTACGTTCCCAAACTGAAAATATGTAACTTTATTTTGGTGAACAGAACCTACGTAACTTTACTTTCATAAACTAAAAACAAATAACTTCACTTTGGTAAACACAATCTATGTAATTTTACTCTCATAAACTAAAAAAATCCGTAACTTTGCTTTCCTAAACTGAAAATATGTATCTTCACTTTGGTAAACATAACCTACGTAACTTTACTTTTGTTAACTAAAAATAATAACTTCACTTTCCTAAACTGAAAATATGTATATTTATTTTGATAAACATAACCTGCATAACTTTACTGTTGCAGACTAAAAACACATAACTTTGGTAAACATAACCTATGTAACTTTACTTACGTGAACTAAAAATACGTAACTTTACTTTCCCAAACTGAAAATATGTAACATTATTTTGGTGAACAAATCCTACGTAACTTTACTTACATAGACTAAAAACACATAACTTTGGGAAAAAAAACCTACATAACTCTACTTTTGTAAACTCAAAATACGTTACTTTATTTTGATGAACAAAACCTATGTTACCCTACCCTAAAAATACATAAGTTTACTTTCCAAAAACTAGCCTATGGAACTTCACTTTCAGAAACTGAAAATGCATAACATTTTCAAATCTTTGAATTTTATTTGTTAGAGTGAACCAACTCTTAAATGAGAATACGTAGGATTAACACAGCAAGTAATTTGCACAAATAAAACATATCAGCAATATGTATAATAATATTCTCTGTTGTCTTAACACTTAAAAACTTTACAGCAAAATGCACGTTTATCTTTATCTGCAACTTACCTAATCGAAACAGAACTTACTGTATATTTTTATACCCTAAAGCGTATCGTCTTTTAAAGTAAAGGCTCACTGTGGATTAATAATAAAATTATTAAACCTTGTTTTGTTTTTTTTACATTTTTGTGCACATGATGTACAGGACAATTAAATAGTGTTTTTTAAAAAGTACATAAAAATACAATAGAAAATATGTTTATACACATTTCTTAATTTTGTG